TGGTTCAGCTGAAGGCAGAGTCCTGGCCCTTGTCTTGGCTCTGGTGGTGTCACTGAACCAGACACGTTTCCAGGGATGAAAGGCAAAGGTGCTGCAGGTGATGCTGCTGGAAACCAGCATGACCTCTTTGCCTTCCTACATTCTGTGTCTTCCTCTGCTAGAGGGAAAAAAAGACAGATGGTGCCTCTTGGGGCAGTTCTCATAATTTTCTGTCACCTTTCCTACTTCTTCTTTTCCCTTGAGAAAGCAAAACTGGACTTAGTGGCCTCATATGATCCCAATAAGACCTCGAGGATGAGAATGTCAAAGCTTCTATTTTCTGTTGTCCTGCCTAAGGAGCCTCCTTCCCTCTCACTTGTCTTTTCATATCCTGCAAAAAAAAGAATTGTTCTTTCATTAGGCATCCAAGTACTGCTGTAATGAGCATGTTCAAGTAGCCCAGGAGGCATCTAATGTTAGATACAGGATTGGGATTGCATCCAAGCCTGCCCCGAACTTCTGGGAGATAGAATATGTTCCTTTAGTCATGAGGCAGGTTTCCTTTCCCTTGTTAGAATATGAACACAATGTTAGAATATTTATATTGAATACTATCCGTTTTTTAGAAGCACCGAGCTAGTATTTTTAAACAATGCAATAAAAGGAAGCACTTATTTCCATAACAATAACTGTCTTCTGTTTTTTTTCTAGCCAAGTGCAAAAGAGGAAGAGATGTTTCTCTATGAATTATTAATCAGAAAATAAAACCAGAATTGTCTTTTTGTTTGTTTAAATACTTGTTTTTCAGTGAAACAATCATGTTTCTTCATGAGATATTTCACCAGGGCTTAAAAGCAAGAATAGCTAACTGGCCTACCTTAATTCTAGGTAAGTTACTTTATTTTCTGTGGGGGTATAACTTTCATATTTATTTTTGAAAATTCAGTAGGGATTGTTTTTTCTTTTTTTCTAAAGACATGACTTCTTAAAAGTCCTTTCTGAAGGGAATGCATTTGCAGAGTTAAAACCACAAGATCAGGTGTATTGGGAATCCCATGTGGGCAGTAATGATGTGATATGAGAATTCCTCTGCCCTAAGCATTGATTAGACTTGTATTTTTGGTAATACTATCTGACCATTAGGTAATCAGAACAAGCATCACTGGGCAGGTGAAAGAGCTGTGTTTAATGTTTCCAAATTGTCAGTATTTTGGAAACAGAACTGATTACAGTAATTCACTTCTGGAGAAAACACTGCTTTCTTTAAAAATGCATTTCAATACATGGGTAACTGGGGGGAAAAAAAAGGCGTTTTCTCTGCTTTTTCTAGCTGACTTATTTGACATTCTGCTGCCAATGCTGAACATATATCAAGAATTTGTCCGGAATCATCAGTATAGCCTACAAGTGCTGGCAAACTGTAAGCAAAACAGAGATTTTGACAAACTCTTGAAGCAATATGAGGCCAACCCAGCATGTGAGGGCCGAATGCTGGAAACTTTCCTCACCTACCCCATGTTCCAGGTACTCCCTGTGCATTTTTGGTGTGTATTTGGTTTTACTGTTCAGTTGATTCACTTTGTGTTACTGACATTGCCATTGAGCGAAGGCTCCTCTTGCTTAACTAGAAATACTCTCCTGAAAGTTAGTTGAGTTTAATTAGTTCCGTAGTTACACCAGGAGTCTGCCTGTAGAGATCTTTTCCCCAGCTATGCTGGCTCATCTTTGTTCAGTCAGGAATGCTGAGGGGGAGTGTGGGGTGAGGATGCCACCACGGAAAATCGTCAAGGAGCAGTTCCTTGGCTTAGGACCCCTGGCTATTAAAGTCCAGAGAGAGATGATGGTCAGTAACTTGGAGCAGCCATAAACACCTTACTGGGAATTCACTTTCTCCTTGCTTTGGTCTCGAGTGACTTGGTCTTTAAAAAATGAAATAGAAACTGTAAAAGTTTTGAAGACTGTACTTACCCTCCTGATAATTTGCTGTGATCTGCCTGGGGTAGACATTTGCAGCTGTTCTAAGATGTCTGTGGAGCACTGGCCTGAGAATTTTATGTCTTTTTCACTTAACCTGACATTTTACTCATCAGAGGAATAGTGAACCCCCTCAGTTTATGCAGTTATTGGCAAGCCAGACAGAGCAAAAAAAGTTTAAAAAGGCACATCAGTGATTCTTATGTTAGTGGTAGTTGTTCATATTAGCCTAAGGAGCCCCTTGCCCTTGCAGCAATGCTGTTTTAATTTTTGAAGTGGTATATCTAAAAGTTTTTATGGAGTTGGGTTTCTTTGGGTTGAGTTGAAGCCAGGTCAGGGGAGGTAAAGAGATTGTCCTGTTCCTGTGTGAAGAGGAATGTTATTATGTCATTGCTGATGACTTTCCACATGAGCATAATGTTGCCTCTCCTCCTACATAAATCTTGTTGTGTCAGACTAGTTATGCTGCACCATCACTTGGTTCTGGTTAAAAGCTCTGAAGAGTCCTTCTTTCTGTGGTTAAAAGCTCTGAAGAGTCCTTGTTACCCTGTAGCCTTTAATAGTCAAATACTGGACATTCTTCCATCTCCTTTTGTGCAACGTGAATTTTCTCTGAATGAAGGCAGGTCACCTGGTATTTTCAATGTCAAAAGAAATTTACATAGTCATAATGTATTAAAATTAAGGGAAGGTATATATGGATTTACTGATATTATACCTTATTGGTTTCCAAGATTCCCAGGTATATTATAACACTTCATGAACTTTTGGCTCACACACCACACGAGCACGTTGAGAGAAAAAGCCTTGAATTTGCTAAATCTAAACTAGAAGAACTTTCAAGGTAAGATTTTTCTACCTTATGCCTGATAATTTTGAATGAAAGATTTTGAAAAGAAAAGCCAGTTTATCTTTACTTTTATTTGTTTTTCCTCCTTTAAAAACGATATATATTTTAAAGAAAAGGCTCAAACTCCAAACAGAAGATAATGAAAAATAACAGAAATATCTCAGTGTAATATTTTGACTGTTCTTTTTTTTTCTTTTGATAAATTTAAATCTACAAGTGTCTCCTTGTATTTTGGTTAGGGGAGAATCGAAATCACTATAGAAACCACCTACTCCTGGGTTATGAACAGAGCAGTTTTCTTTACATTATGAAATTTTATTTTTCCCAATTTAAAAGAGAGAAAAAGGCATTTTAAATAATCACAGTCTTAGAAAGTACTTAGTTCTCTATCTGTGTCATAATTTTTGTGTGCTGATATGAAAATTGACTTTCATATGTGCTTCAAATAATGCCAAATAAGCAGGAAGTAAAGATAAATTCTGAGAACTGATGCTTCCTGTGGAAACCTGCAAAATGAAACTCTTCCCTGAACCCCAGACCTTTCTCAGATGTTCCTCTCATCAGCCCAGTGAGAAATGTGGTTCTCCTCTCTGGGAAATTCAGTTTTCTGCTGTGAACAGAGACCATGAGTGAACTCCAGGATATAAATACTCAGTGTCTGGAGTATTCACTAAAGATGTGCTTGGAGAATATTTAGTTGTAAAAGATGTGCACGAGCAGATAAATCAGCTTTGGGCTGGCTTCATCTCCTAAGTCAGAGTTCATTGCTGGTCCGACTGATTCATCACTGAACATTCAGAACTGGAGTCTGAGACTGACTGATCCTCTGTGCTCATGAAGTCAGTATAGACCATAAATTTAAAATAAAGGGACTCATTTCCATCCCTTTAATGCAGTTCTAAGGGAGGAGGAGATCCCAGAATGTGCAGTCCAGTCCCACTTTAGGAAAATATCATTACAAGACCATATATATGAAAAAATAAAGAATCTCTACTTTTCTCTGTAAGGGGAGGATGCTTATTAAAAAAACAGTAAGACAAAGAAAATGGTGAAGTATCAAAGCTGTGGATGTTGGGGGAAAGGAAAGGAAAGGAAAGGAAAGGAAAGGAAAGGAAAGGAAAGGAAAGGAAAGGAAAGGAAAGGAAAGGAAAGGAAAGGAAAGGAA